GGGCTAAGGAAATGCTTATCTCCCCGAGCGTGGCCTTCACCAAACCATTCCATCACACTATCAGAGCTAGATCTGTACAGGTAGTCCTTGGGTTATGACATTCATTCTGCAACCGTTCAAAGTTATCACGGCACTGAACCAGGAGGACTTACAACAGGTCCTTGGAGTTCCAGCTGTTGCAGCTTCCCTGTGGTCATGTGATCACAATCTGGTTGCTTAACACCCAGCTCACAATTATGACATTGCAGTGAGTCACAGTCATGTGATTGCAATTTCCGACGTTCCCTGCCAGCTTCCCACAAGCAAAGCCAACAGGAAAGCCGGCAGGAAATTGGAAGTTGCAGTCACACGAGGTCCTTGCTTAATGACCTGAGTGGTTCTTGTTTAACAGCGGCAACCAGGACTACTGGAATTGACATCGCTAAGCAACCTGGTCATGTCGCTTTATGACTGTGTTGCTTAGTGATGGAGTTCCTGTCCTAATTGCTGTTGTAAACCGAGGATTGCCTGTATATTAGTATCTTCCTTTTAATGTGCGGAATCATTTAATAGGGTGAAAATGTCAAAATATGAATTAAATACATTATAATAATTAACTAACACAGATGGAGGCAGGACACACAGTCAGAGGATATCATCAATAAAATTCAGATAAAATATCAAGATTTAAGTGCATTATTTTCAGTATGTTGGTACTTGCATGTTATTATTTTAAAGCATGATTTATTAGGATTTCACCCTCTTCAGAGATGTAATCACAGAGGCAGATCCTTCTCATCACTATTAGCAGAATGTGATTTCCTGACGGTACATTTTTGAAAGTGGTAATAAGGTCCTGCTCTATTGAACAATAACATCTTGCCAACTTTGCTGATTTAGAAAGCTAAGCAGGATCACCCATGGTCAACTTATATGGTGGGGCATCTGGGAAATCCTGGCTGTGGGTTAGATGGGAAGCCACAGTAATGTCCTGGAAAGAAGCAATGACAACCACTTTCATGTCACGTCCATAAAACTACATGGATGTAGGCCATCAGGAACTGAGTCTGATTTAAAGGGAATGTTCCTTTTTAATGGAGACCTGATGATCAGTGTTGCATAGGAACAAGCTTCCATGAAGCCAGGGTAATCTTCAACTAACAGCATTATAAGAACTGTCTGATGCTATAAACCCTCCCACAGTTTCACGTTAGCTGAATACTGAGAAACAGCCTCCTGTGAAATGCCCTTTCTTAATCCTTGTCTGCCTTCAACAATCGAACCAGAAACAGTTTGGTTATCAGATTATTTGCTCTAGTTCTAGAGGAACATAAAGGTTAAATTCATCAGAGACAGGTCAGGGAGACTACAAAAGAGGCTGTTTTCTAGTCATTTTCAACTCCTAATGCCCACACAGGCAGATTTTCTCCATGATGATCTGTCCCTATCCTGGTCTTTCAGGTCTTTCAAAAAGCGGATTAAAAACTGAAGATGGATAAAACCCTCTGCTTTCATTTAATTAAATAAGAAAGGTGGGCTAGTGAAAAAAAAGAAGTGGCGCTGCTACCTCTTTATTTTCAGGTTTTCCAAGTAAAATTATTTTATTTAAATAATATGGAATAGAAGATCAAAGATGTTAAGGCACACCAAGTACATATCATGAAAGCTCTTATACAAGCATAAGAATTGTATGTTCTAAAGAATACTAAAGAGACATCTTTACAAAAAAGAGAGGCAACAGCATCACTCAGTGGAATAAAAATGGTTCTGCACAGGTAGCAAAAATCAGTACAACGTTTTAGCTAGAACAAGAGTTTAAAATGTATAATTTGGAATAATTAATACAAGACAGCATGTATTAATAATATTCTTAAAAATCTAAGGGCAGGAAGTTTAATTCTGGTTATTTATTTTTATGTCATCACACAAAACAGATTATTGCAATTCAGACTTACCTTTACAGTGTACAGCTATAGCACCTTCTGCTTCCTCACAGATGTTCAAGAACTGTTGCAGTATACTTTCACTTGGTGTGCTTCCATCAATGAAGAACAGATCATAGTGCTCAAACCCACCATCCGTGAAGCGCTTTGCTTCATAAATCTTTTTGTTGAGTCTTATGACGGTTGTTATGTTGTGCTTCCTAAAATATGGGAAATAGGCTTCGGGTGCATGAAGCGGATAGCCTACAACAAGCAGAGCGAGAATACCTGCATGTTCAGATGCCATCTCCAAGTAGCCAGTATTACTGCACCACTAAGAACATTAGATGATGAACATAAACTATTTTAAACCAATACAAATATTATTAGGCAAGTCTATTCAAAGATACAAAGTTGAATGCTTTAGCTTTACAGCCAAAAGATCTTGAGTAACAGCATCATAGAACATTAAAGGGCTCCACCTAATATTTTGAGAAATCATTTCTTCCTCTTGTTAGTCCTAGATCAGAAGGCAGCTTTTTTGTGCAATCCTCATCTCCATGAAAAACAGATACAGTTTTTAAAAAGTCTGAATATTTGGAAAGTACTATGGGCAACTGTAAATATTTGGAAGAGACTTGGCATAGTTATTTTGACTGATTTGCTATTTCTTCCTTCAACTAACCACATATAGTCCTCCACTTATGACCATTCGTTTAGTGACCATTCAAAGTTATGATGGCACTGAAAAAAAGTGACTTATGACTGGTCCTTGCACTTATGACCGTCACAGTGTCCCTGCAGTTGCATGATCAAAATTCAGGCGCTTGGTAACCGGCATGTATTTACAGCAGTTGCAGTGTCCTGGGGTCACGTGATCACCATTTGTGACCTTCCCAGTTGGCTTCTGACAAGCAAAATCAATGGGGAACTGCGTGATTCACTTAACGCCTGTGGAGTTTTGCTTAACAGCTGCCACTAAAACTGTCATAAAATCGGGTGCAGTCACATGATGCCTCACTTAACAACCACACTGATTAATGACAAATTTTCCAGTCCCTATTGTGGTTGTAAGTGGAGAACTACCTGTATATCCAACATACTGAAATTTTACACGTACATATTTTATGTGTTTATCTCCATCACTTCTTTTTATTCAGCTTCTTAAAACAGTACCAAAGTGAAACTGAAGAAAGTTCCATGAAAGCAGAGCCGATGACCACAGCAAAGACCAAGGAACCGGTGAGTAGATCGATTCCTTGGAACATCTCTGGATAAGGAGAGGATGGGAGATGGCTCCAGATGGCTGCTCCTTGCAAAGAGACAGCAGGACAGCAGTTTTCCTCGGGTTTGAGCGCCAGGAGATGACAGGATCAGTCATCTTGCTTGCAACTGCGGTGGAGCCTTTTAAAGGCCACTAAGTTTGCAAACCTCGCTTTCTCTTTTTAATAGTAATTTTATTAAAAATTACACTTACAATGATAAAAAACTAACGCAAACTAAAGAAAGAACAAAAAGAAAAAATAGGTGCAGAAAAAAGAAAATAGAATAGAGAAGAAAAAATAAGAATAAAGAAAAAGAAATGTATAAAGAAATAACTTCCCCTTCATCACAAGTATAAACAATTTTAGTAATTTATCAGCTTCTCTTAAAATACAACAAATTATCTCCTCTTCCCATATCCCATCCCTTATCTATAAACAAATCCATAAAGCATTGTCATTTCAGTCCTGGTGTCAGCAAAAGTCCATTAAGGGTTACCAGAGATAACCTATCTCTTTTAACCAACTTTATATTCCTTTCTTTTACTTTTAACAATCTTGACCTTTAGTCCCTTCAAATAATGACCTAGAACTTGATTTCTTTACATTTTTTTTTTTGCCCCTTCTCACAAAATTCTTCAAAGCTTTAACAAGCTTCTTTTGTAAATCCAATATAAGGAAGTTATCAAGGCCACTCTCTTGGTTTGTTATTTATGTATTCCTTTTAATTATTAAGACATCAGCCAGTTTCTTTTGTATGTCTAGTGTAACATCTTTTTCCATATCATTTTTGTAGCCTGTCAGTTTTAAATCCACTTTCAGATCAGTCTCAGTCTTGTCCGGTAAAACTTGTTCCTCTCCCATAACATCTTTTAAACATAGTCTATCTAGAGGCAGACACTCTTAAAATCAACTTCTGGGTCCATTGTTCAAAATATCCTTCAATATATCCAATGTTAAAATATTTTGCTCCATTCTGTATTATTAAGTCAAATTTTAGTGTTCTTCTCCTTTAATTGTAATCTGTAGTTCCTTCTAGTTCCCTCTAGTGTCCAACCTTCAAAGTCCCATCCTATCATTTTTTTTGTTCCTTCTAGTTCCCTCTAGTGTCCAACCTTCAAAGTCCCATCCTATCATTTTTTTTGTTCCTTCTAGTTCCCTCTAGTGTCCAACCTTCAAAGTCCCATCCTATCATTTTTTTTTAAAGAATTCAAAACAAAAGCATTTTCCCATGGGAAGAATTCTTATAATTAATTCCAAAATTTTATTTCACATTTATCTGGACCCTTAGTCCGTTTGTAACTTTCCAAAATCAAAGTTTTAATCACCTTTGTGCTGTTTATTCTAACATTAAACAAAAATCCTTAAACTTGTATTTAAAACTTCTTTTGTTGAGGATTGAAGGAAACTCACCCAGTGTTTTCAGACTTCTTGATCCAAAGGTTCCTAATAGCTGAAAAGCAGTTAACAAGCAATTTCTGAAAGTGATTAGAAAAGGAAATGTGCGAGCCCAGTGTCCTTTTGAAGGTGCCGACTGTGGTTTGAGCCAGGTGGCTATTCCCTCATCTCCCAGAGAAACCACTGTCTTATGGTCTCCTTGTGAGGAGCAACTGCCTGGAGCACTTGTAGCCAATCTCAAGTCCTCTCCTTGTCTGGAGAGGAATTATAAAGCCAGTCTACTTGCCAGCTCTTCATTCCGCTGTGGTCGTTGGCTCTGCTTTTAGTGGAGCCATCTTCAGTTTGCCATTTCTTACCCAGAAGTCACAAACTTCGCTTTCTAATCACTTTTGGAAATTGCCTATTAACCATCTTAAAGCAGTTTTTGGAGCAGTTTTTAAAGGGGCAAAGTTTGCAGGTAGAAAGATACAGCTTGCTACCATAAGCATACTCTCCATTAGATGGAATATTTCACTTGCTGAAAATATCAAGTTGACTTCACACTAAAAGTTAAACTTTTTGGTATCGGTAAACAATTTGTTTCCCAAACAATGTCCAAAAGCTTGCATACATCCAGGGCCTTCTTGTGCATGGGATTCCTTACTGGACTTAAACATTACCCGGAGGTGCTGCTCAGAACCAGTATCAGAAGCTGCATTTGTCAGATCAAATTTCATGGACAGAAACTACTTGGGTAAACCATAGCAACTCTGGACTACAGTCAATAACTAACCATAGGAAACCAATACAAAATTCTACTCCCCCCACCCCCAAAAAGACAAATACCATTTTCAATCTTGGTCTTCGGATGCGGTCCACTAAATGCTAAGAATTTTCCAGGGACAATCCAATTGAAGTCACCATTTTCTACCCGCTATGAAAAATGAAAGGGAAAAAAAAGATTAAAAAAATCTCTTTACAACTTTTGAATAGGATCTTATTTTGAAAAAAAAAATAGTTCATAAAAATGTAGCTTCACTTTAATGTCTAATATCGCCTGTGGAAAAAATTAAGTTTGATGAAACATTATCCAAGGCATTTTGCTACTATTAAAAAAAAAATCCATTTAATTTTACTGAGGAGTCATCATGAGGGCCAACATTTACCTTTATTTTCAGAATTCACAAAGGCAATGGAAGTCTGCCATATAATTAAGGTTTGAAAAACTGATGCTTAAGGCAATACATAATTAATGCCAATTTGCATTAATATTTTTATGTTCTGAATACAACTTCCTGCACATGAAAACTTGTTGTGAGACCAAGTGTAAATCCTCTTGTATCAAGTAATGCATTATGAAGAAGAGTTCCATGTCAGTTGAAATCACTGGACATCATGTTTTAGTAGCAAGGTTATACAGATAAGAAGCTGAATTAATTTCTGCAATCCTTTTGAAGATTTAAACACTGCCTGAAAATGTCAGACAAATTAATAAATTATCTCAGAAGTTATCATTACTTAGTGTAATGCTTTCATATAGTAAATGGTTAATCTACCTGCCTATACTTCCTTTTGGAAAAATGTGACTGAGCACGTACACATTCTCAGCTATACTCTTCAAACAATGTTTCAGACTCAGAAGTGAAAAAGTACTGAGTTAGGCAAAGAGATGTGACATTACTTGCTCAGTAAAAATACACACTAGCAGACAGACGGACAGACAGTACTAGAACCTCGAGTAATCAGCAGACTTTACAAGCTGACGGTCAAACAAATGTGTTTTCTATCTTCTGGAATTATTCAAGCAATACATTTTCCTAGATTTCTAGCAACCTAATAATTTTTAAAGAATGACTTCTATACCATTAAATATTATATGAATTATTTTGTTCAGATAATGTTACAAATCTTTTATTCCTTTTTCTTGCTACTTTTATGATAGAGAAATTCAAAACCTACACAACAATTTAGAAATCATCATTACTACATGTAATGATGTACTAAAGCGTCTCAAGTACAGGGCATTTTATAATAAATTTCATATTTATACTTTAGCAAACTCATCAACTTAAAAGGTGCACAAACCTCATAGTGTTCATATTCATCTGCATCAAATGTCTTGAAATCAACAAATCCATGTTGTAAGGCCTGGAAAGAAGCATGTCAAATTTTCATGCAGCTGTCCACAAAAAAACCCTCAATCTTCTGAAATAATTTAGATGGAATTAGCACTTAATTTACGCCTTTAGAAACTATTTTAAACTGTTGATTGAGTTATAATCAAGGCAAGATTGTTACTTGTTGTCATACAGCTTGTGACTTGTACTTCCTTAGCAAAACTCAGATATCTTGACTCAAAATTTCCATTTTGATCCAGAAAGAATAGCTAACTAAAAGTGATGGGATATGAACTGACTGTAACAGAAACAAGTAATATATTGGTAGAGGTGCTACCATTTATTTCTTCCAGTGATTAAATTCAGAAGACATATGTGCTTCTTTTTTCAACTAGAACTTCTCCCAGTAACTAAAAAGACCTCTCTGCCCTTCAGGAAAAAACCCATCAGGAACCTTTGAAATTATCAATCTAGAGGCATGGCAAGAAAAACAGCCCACTTTCTGAAATGGTTTAACATCTCCTGTTAGCACCCAAGAAATTGGAATTTTATTTGAGTATCACTATTTTGCATAGTAACCCCCTTTTCTCTCTAGCAGCCTAAACATACATAAGAAAAATAATTTTTTCTTGAGATTTATTTTCATTATTCTAGATACCATGTGATCTTTGTTCTGTCCCAGTCTAACAGTGGGACAATATGTTTAGACAAAACATATTTTATATATTTTTTGGCTGCTCCTGAATAAATAGAAATATAGTTGCAGACTGTACCCAAAACGACTTTAACTACTTACCTCTTGCAAATGCAGATTTAAAAGTGAGGTATCTCAGAAATTGTCTGCATTCAGTATATTTTTAAAATCTATGCAATCACCTAGAAGTAAATCCATTTATGTTCCTCTTTCTCTAGAGAATGCAATAAACTTCTAATTCTCTAAATCTATAAATTCTGCTAGCATCTGAGCCTCCATAAGCTATGCAGCTATCAGATTCAACCATTTGCATCGCTTTCCTTTCCATTCCTAATTTGGCAAATGTTTCCTATCACTGACCTGACTTGCATAACAATTTGTTTTTTTAAGTCCTCTCTTACCAAAATAACTTAACAAATACATAAATAAATTGTATTATTATTGACTGGAGATTAACCTTCTACGTTGGGTTTGAACAGCAGACAACGCCAGAAAAACTGTCCTAGAATAAAACATGGGTACTAAAAATGCAAATGTTATGGTCAGTAACCAGTTAATAAAATACATTTTAATTAATTCAATAAGAAAGATCTTAAAAAACAAATTCTTGCACTCATGCCTGGACTATACAATAATAGATAAATGGATCAAGATTAAACATGTTTAAGGATGAGATTTGAAGTACAATTCTGTGCGTAATCTGGTGGCATGTTCTGCAACATTTCACAAGGACACTTGCATACTATTAATAGACAAAAAATGGAGTAATGACAAACTGAGGCTGCTTCAGACCAGTCTGAATTATCACTGCTGGTTCTATATGTTTTTCATAGACCGGAAAATGTTCCTAGGGTATCTTAAACGGGCACTTAAAAAAGGCTCAATTCTCCCCCCCAATCCATGATGCCTCTATTCCTGACCATGCCCTCAAAGGTTTTAAAAATGTGTTCAATAAAACCTAAAAACAAACAAACAAACGAAGCTATTGAAAGATGACTAGAATATCACTTGACATGAGAATGAATGGCAAACTAGGGCTGATCATGGCTTGCCAGTGCCATGTGTTACACTCCTGAAAAGTATCTAAGAAGCTATTTTCTTTCACATGCACCTTGTAATATTACCTTTTTTAATCCTTGCAGACAATCGAGAATACTTAGACTATATGTACAGTTCCCAAATGAAGCATCCCTATGAAAAGAAAATGTTAACATGTCAGAGGAACAGAAAGCAGCAGTGTATCATGTTACAACTGAGGTGGGTGACATATGGCCTCCAAGCTCAATTTTTTTTAGTCCTCCAAGCCCTCTCTAGCCATGACTACCAAAAATGAATAGCTTGATTTCCCAACAACTCAAGCACTGAAACTGCAGTGCGAGCATCAACATGCTATTATTTAAAATAATTTTTAAAAAGGAAAAAAAAAAGCAGCACTACAAATCCTGCCTCCTACCCCACTTAATGCAGCTCTCATCTCCCAGAAAATATTGCACAGCTACCCACCAGCAAAAGATTGCCCATTCCTGCATTAAAAGGTGGCAAGGGGTATTTTAGATTTCCAAAAATTTCAATCTTGATGTGACAGTTCAATTATATGCATAAATCTGTAGAGACTGATCTCCTCAACTAACTGAAGAATGTGTGTTCATTTAAAATATTAATAAGATTATTTTAAAAATGAAATAAGTGATTTTTCAATGGAGGAAAATTGTACAGTATCTCTGGACGCTTTAAATTCACACTTAATGGAATTACTCTAAAGCCCACCCTTTTAGTGTATTTTAGTGTAGTGGTTTTTATACGCTAGTCTGAATAATAATATAAAAGGAAGCAGAAGACAACAAGAAAAGGTAGATGACATGTAAACAAAATTGTCTTTCAAACTATTATAGTCTGTTACATTTGCCTAGATGAATAATTATTTAAGGCTTTTTATTTACTTTCTAAAACTTAATTACATGTTTTTTTCCCCTCAAATTCAGGACAATAAGCAGCAAGGTTGGCTATTTTTCAAAGACTAGTGAATGAATATTACAGTTCTCAATATCTCTGGTTGAAATAGTTTTTATTCCTTAATATTATACAGACTTAAAGCAAAATAGTAAAGTCTACCTTACCTAAAAGTAGTACAGTTACTAGCACATTCATGCATTATGTAGTATTTTGTGATTACAATCAAAATTGAATACCCTAATGCTTTTCAGAATGTCCAAAGTCTGTACACAATTATGAATCTCTAATACCCATTTCTTAATTATTGTTAAAAACATAGCGATGTACTGTTAAAAGTGTTCTTAGTTCTATTTCACTAGATTGCTACAAATTGTTAAGAGGACAATGCATATATATTTCTGCTTTAATACATTTGTTATAAGTATTTTTGCATATATACAGTATGCATCCCATCTCCATTCCCCCCAGTTAAACTGACTTCTCAGGGAATGATCTTCACAGAAAGATCATGTGCACATTTTCTTAAACTTATTAAATACAGGAATAACAGTATATTTAAACAGTATATGGAATAACTAAACAGTAGTAATAGGAATGAGGTATATATATATATATTTTTCTCCTATGAGAAGAATTTAACCAGTTTCTGCAACAAATATTTAGAATAGATCATGAATATTTACTGAAATGTTTGTTCACAAAAGAAGCAGAAACTGTATTTTCAAAACAAATCAACCTGTTATTTAAACTTGTTAGTGCATTATAAAAAGAAAGTTTGAAATTCACACATGGGAAAAGCTAGGCAACCATATAACTTCTTGTGCTTTTGACAGCCCAAATCTAAATATAGTTTTTTGTTTAATAATTCGCCATTTAATAGAGGTTTACAGTGTTTGAGGCAGTCTGATCAGAATTAGTAGGAAAGGCAACTAGATACTTTCCAATTAGCTATATTAAACATAAAGATTTTAACAGGGCTAAAGTACACAAACACTAAAATATATAGTTCATTTTAATCACACTGAGAACTCCATAATGTTTTAAAGGAGATATAAGTGAAGATGAATTTGCATGAAATACTGACTGAATGCTTAATGCAAGTTTTAAATGCCCATCTTCTAAGTACTAAATGTGTGAAAATGATTTACTGTCAGATGCACTAATTAAAGTTGACAAGTCTAATGTAGTAACAATGAGCTATAATCCATTAAATCTGATCTGAAGAAAAAAATCTGTCCTCAGAAGAAGTACGTTTAAATTTCAGGATCCCATTATTATAGAAGGGCTAACACACCTGTAATATATATCTTATTTAAGTACTTTTCTTTAAACTATTTTAACCAAAAAAATCCCACTTCAATTTATTGATTAAAACAAATATTAAATAATATAGCCCAAAGATTATTGATGAGTGTTTCCAAGCTGCAACCTGAGCAAACCTGAAAGTGTCAGTAAACTTATTTATACTTATTTTTATTTTATGCAATAAGTATCCAAACATTTTCAATTTTATAGAACAATTTAATTTCTACATCAATCTAAAAAAGCATAACGCCCTCAACCTAAAAATGGATTTAGCTAGAGCTGGTTGCTTAGTACCCATATTGCATGTGCAGTCCACCCATATAATAGTGTCCCAGCAGCACTGTGCTTACAACAGCAGCTTTTATTGTCAAAAGCACTTTCTACAGTACTGTTTTATGGCTGTAATTAACAGAAGATGTTTAGATAAAGTTCAGGCACTGAAGGTTTGGTCAATAAAAATTGTGTAATTTTTTAGCTCCTTGTCTAATACTGGAAAACAAAGTTGTGAAAAAATGTACATTTGCATAAGTAACATTAAGTTATCTTAGTAAGTAGTATGTAAAATCCTGCATGTAAAAGTTCCTCCTTAATTGTAAGGGTAAAACACATATATGTCTCCTCACCCAAAGCAAGGGAATATAAATGAATATGCCTTGATATTATAGGTTTGAGTATTCTGAGAGTTTCACCAAACATAGAACTGAATTAGCAATATATTTTTATACCATGCAAATTATTAATTATACTATACCTAAATAAAATTGATTCCATCCACTGCTGTTTGTGTAGCATTTGAAAATTACCTATTTACTTCCAGAATCTATTTTTCTAAGCATATATTTTTGAACGCAAGTATTCCAGTCTTCCTTAAATACATAGAACAACTTTACCCTGGAAGCAAGCAGCCATTTATTCACTCTCTCTTTTAAGAGATTTGATATAGCTGCCCAGTTACCGAATCTGTGTTTCACATTATAACTTAAGATCTTATCAGCAGCAAATCCGTATTTCTTCATGCTGACATCTTTTATCTTCAATGTCAGAAATCAGGATTAACGATTAACAAACAACTATGCTCCCTTTGTCAACATCAAGAAGTTTGATAACATCTGCATTCTGCAATTCAATTGTTAAAAACAGAACATCTGGAAGAAAAGATACAGAAAATATTTCAAAACACACTGTACTGGTTTCTGTTAGGGCTGTGCCCTAACATACAATTTGATACAGATAATGCTTGCACAATTTAAAAGGCATTTCAAAATCCAAAGCTTGCCACTTCACCATTCACTATCATTCAGAAATCAAGAAAAGGTGTATCTTTAGCAGTTATACGTAACGCTACTTGACAATTATGGATAGAAAAAAAAAATCCCATATTGAGAATGCAGCTGCAAGGGGTTTTTGTGCATGACCAGCTTTTACAGTTTGGGAGGCCTCCATTAAGAATGTCCTAGCTCCTCCTGTGCTTTATAGGCAGGGCAATTTTTAGGAAAATTACTTATTTGACAGAGGAGACTTCAGGGACAAATCATGCTAACTTTCAGTATAGACTGATTCAGAGGATTTAGGAGTAATCTCTACAGGTAGGTCTTGATTATGCAGTTAATTAATCCCACAAAATGGTTGCATTATTCAAATTTGCATTAATCGAAGTGATATTTCTACAGAAAATAGGGTAATTGGCTCCAGCTTGACAGAATAGGCAATTAAAATTCCTAGACATAATTTTTATGTTTATTAATGAAATACTATATAACAATAAAAGAAGGTAAACCCATATCCAAAGTGTGCGTGCCAATTCCTGGTTTTTTCTGTTCTGCTGCTGTTCTTCAAATGATCCTCTTCTTTTTTAAGCTTTCCTCAAACATAACCTTCTTGTTCTCCATTTTGCACAAACGATTAGCATCTAAAACCCCAATGGCACATGCACTAGCATAAACTATGCGCACACTAGCCTCGCACTAACTGAATTTTGGCTCACATTAAATGCAACCAGCTATCAATTTATAAATCACATTAAATCGAATTCTGCACTATTCAAACTCAGACTAATCACAACCTATTTGTATATGCACATTGCACAGTTGATGCTAAGTAGGGTATAAAAAACAGGATTTAGGGTAGGGGGATATTTATATTTCGCAGGTTTTCTGCTCAACTGACAATACTGAAATCACAACATTAAGTGCTTCATCTTTGTTAGCATGGTATAATTTTATTAAGAAATTATGTAGAACTATCCAGTGTGCAGCTTGTACATACTGTACAGCAGGGTTCCTCAACCTTGGCAACTTTAAGATGGGTGGACTTCTTAAAGTCCACCCGTCTTAAAGTTGCCAAGATTGAGGAACCCTGCTGTATAGGATCTAAGGAGGGTTTCTCTCTGTGTGTGTAGTGCTTTAAAAGATACATCTTCCTACTTTTCCTGGACTATTTCTTGTGTTCCTTACTGTGCAATGCTTACAGAGTGAAATACCCCTTAAGATTTTTTTTTTAATTTTCCTTTACTGCATTTCAGTGACATGATCTTGGGATACTTTAGAGGCCTCAGAACTTCAGTGAAACTGGAGAAACCTACGTTCAATCAACTCCATGGGGTTAAACTTTGGAAAAAAATGAAAGGGGGAGTACTCTGTACACCAACTTGAGCTCCTAGAAGAAATCTAACAAAGAAACAAAGTACAAATTAGATTTTCATGTCCAGTGAACTGGGCAAAGAGGTATTTTAGCAAATTTGCCTACAATCTCATTTTCAGAACACTGAAGGATTTGCAAGAACAGCTTATGAAACCACAGCAAAGGAGTTGGCATTATGCTAAATCTCTAGAAGCTTATCTGTTGAAAACATACTTTCAAAATGAGGATCCTTATTTTTATTTGTACAAGAGATCAGCATGTTCTGACAAGACCAGGATGTTTTTGCAATATAC